GCAATGAGAAGCCCGTGCACCAAAACGAAGGGTAGTCCCTGCTCGCCACAACTAGAGAAAGCCTGCGCGCAGTAACGAAGACCCTACACAGTCAAAAAATTTTTTAAAAGACCGTAGGGCTTGTCCTGGGTATCAAATCCAATTTGGCCATGATTAAAGGAAACACACACACAGAGCCTGCCGTGTGCCAGGTGCCATGTTAAGCACTTTACACATAATGATCCACTCAATACACTCTGTGCATATGGACTGTTATCACCATCCCATGTAATGGATGGGAAAACTGAAAATGGACGGTATAACTGTGTAACTTGGCACAAAGCTCATCAGTGGCGGAGCTAGGACTTACCCCAAAGAGCGTGGATCCGGAGTCCCTACCCTTACCCCGACACCCTCCAGCGGTGTCCACACAGGATGCTCCAGTCCACTTGCTCCACAGCTGACCGAGGGCTCCAGCTACCAGGGCTCTGCATCTTGGAGAGGGAAGGCGGGGCTGAGGTGTGATCTATGGCCCTTCAGCTGTCCACTGGCATACTGGGCCTGCTTGGACTTGAAGTCAAGAGGATTACAAACCCGTGGGACTTCATACACACACTCACCCTGTCTTACAGTGGCATGTGTTCTAAGATCAGCAGGTGCTTCCAAACTCGGGACTGCCCTTCACCCTGTTGCAATTCAGGATTTTTATAAAGCCCCATCAAAATTGCAATGACACAGAGCTGGGACACCAGGATGTCACAGGGGCAGAATCAGCAATCTCCTTCAAGATCCCATCAAGATTCAGGCAGCAGTAGGCACGGAGGCCATCCCTCTGAAACCCTCCTGGGTCGTGCTTCCCCTGGACAATTAATCCCATCTTAACCTGTAAAAAGTTAGGAGAAAGGAATTGCCTTGCTTAAGGTAACACCAAGAATTCCTTCCAGGCTCTAGAGAGACTCAGGTAAATGGCAGCAAGAACTGAGAGTGAGTCAGGCCTGGGAGAAAGGAGGCTAAGGTGAAGAGGGTAGGGATAGGACAAAGGTCATTAAAAGTGGCTCTGACCCATACGTGAAGGACGGTTAAATGAAGGTATGACAGACAAGGCTGAAGTGGTGTTACTCAGGGCTTAGCTGTAAGAAAACAAAATAAAGTTTTTATTCATCCTGTTTTATAGACTCTGCTCCCGTTTATCCTCTATATAATGTGTATGTGTGAGTATATAAAGGAGAAACAAAATGACAACTCAAAAAAAAAAAGAATCTTTTAATAAAAATTACTCATAAAAATCCTAATAAATTTCAAAGAGCAAGATATTTCTTAGTACATTTATAAAGAACATTTGGTCCTTTTACAAAAAGCTCTCTTTTAATTTAAATACATTTCTTATTTACAGATTAAACATAAAATATCATCTGTAGTTGCAAAGCACATTGCACATTACAGAGAGAAGCATTTGTATATTTCAATAGGTTTTTTCCCAGAGTTTCCAACTCTAGATTTTTTTGTGTGTAAAAACATATTTACCTTTCTTGTGCATAATAAATAAAAATGCAGCCTGTGTTTTGCCATTTAAAACTAAAACAAAATACCTTTAAAAATATTATTTCTCTGCCTCTCAGTAAGAGGGAAGGCCGGTAACAAATCAGGAAGGTCCACAGGTATTTAACATTCTCGCCAGATTCACATGTAAATTCAAGTGGGAAGTAACCCTGAGCCCTGCAAAACCTGGGGACACAAAGCCCAGCCGACTCACCTTCTCACTTTCACAAGAGTCCCTGCCCTGCAGGAACAGGCACTAGAGAAGGAGCTGGATGTCTGGGAATGGAAAGGGAGAGAAAGATCAAGACATTTTTTTTCTAAAGTCCCTGCTCAGCCACTCTAGGGCTGGGGCCATCATCCGGCCAGACCTGGTCACTAGCATTAAATCTGCAGTCGGCAAAAAGAAAGACCTCTAGAAAAAAAGAATTTCTGATATTTTTGTCTACAAAATCCAAAGTGAGGGATTACAGTTTGTAATCATTCAGTAAACTGAGCTAAGAAAACAGCTGAGAGGGATGTTTTTCTTTGGTGGAGGACACAGCAGGGAGGCGAGACAGGAATCAAGCTGAGACCCTCAGATTGCACATATCCAGCCAGGGAGCTAATTTCCATCTGCACAGACACCACCCTGGCGCATAAACACACAGAAAACTATTGAACTGATGTGCACACGCCCCATGATCCAGGACAGCCTCAGAACCTGGGGATTCAGTCGCACAGAGCAGTCACACACAACAAGTTCTGATGGAAGATTTCAAAGTTCTGAAGGGGAGATTGGAACACGGAAGCTGGATTTCCACCAAGGCCAGGACAATTGGAGAGCTAGCAAACACCTCCTTCGTCACCTCCTCCTCCAGGAAATGGAGCTCCTCGATCACAGCATCTCAGCCAGCGAAGCCTGCCCTGAAACGATTTAGAACTCTGTGGTGGGAGATTTAGACTCCACCCACAAAGGTAGCTATAAGGTAGCTTCCCACAAAGGTCTGGCAAAACCACTTTCATTGTGTGAACCAAAGCGGAGTCTAGACATTAGCTACACACAGGAATGCAAGGATGGTGCAAGCTGTCAGCTGTTCCAAAGCATGGAATGTTTGGAATCAGGGTGCTCCTAGGGCAAATCACAAGGGAATTTCCCTGACACTCCCCTCCTCAGCCCTCGCCTTCCTGATCTCCCACGACTCAGAACAGAAGAAACAGCAAAGACCCTGAAGGACATATCACAATTGTTGATTGACACTCTGACCTTTAAAGAGAAAGCAAGTTTTGAACGTGGCTCAAAGGGCCTTCTCTGTAACTAGCCACGAGACGGGCATTCTGGCATCTAGTCACTGACTACATGGCATCCAACTTTAGACTGGGCAGTCTGGAAGCTCAGCAACCAGGGTGAGAATGGGTCGCTCACCCTCGAAGTCACAACTGGTACAAGTCCAGTGCCTGGAAGCTAAGAGGGTCTGAGACTTAATACAAAACATGTCTCATGCCAGCCTGTAGCCGTGAGGTGCCTCTGTGGCACTCAGGCCCAGGTCCCTGTTCCAGAGCGGGAGGGATACCTGAGCCCAGAGGAGGGGGAACACTGGGGTGCGATAACATAACACTGTGATCACAAAGGGCCCACTTTCTTCCCTGAGGTGCCCCATTCTCCCAAACAGCTCATTTATAGTCCCACCTTGGTTTACCTGGAGAAAAGGTGCAGGGATGCTCATGCAGGTGTGTGTCTTTAAAAGGGGATATTTTGGTTTTACTGAGGCAATGAAAATATTTTAAATATATAGAGTATTCTCAAAGAAAATTTTCTGTTCAGTAGATGAGACAATGTTGATAAACAGAATGCTTCTGAAATGAAGAAAAAATGTAAAATAGAAGCATTTGATTTTTTTTTCCTTTAAAACATTTGCACAGTAAATGTTTAAAAGACAAGAGGTGACGTTTATTACTGAAAATCTCTCTTCTAAAAACCTCAAAGAACTGAGTTAGATATCTATTTTAAAACCAGCAACACTTAAACTTTCAAGAATAAAATTCCTCCCTTTTGACTGAAAATGCAATGGCTTACACAGCATTCCTTTCTAGCTTTAAAAAGACTAAAATAAAATCATTTGAAGTATCCTAGCGGTTACGGGTGAGCCACACGACAGGTGAAACCAGAGGTTTTTAAGAGACTTCCTACCCTTTCTATTGAGGTTCATTTCAACCTCTGACGTTACAGGGAAGCCAAAGCTCAGGGTTCAAACCCACCTCTGCTTTCTCTGAGCCCTCTGCACAAGTTCTAAGAGACACAGTTCCATGCTCACTAAGGAAATAATATCAACAAAGAAAAGAGGCGTTTTAGCCCAACTTCCTCTTTATGTATGCTTGCTTAAAATATCAGGTTGAAAGGCAAGGACTGGCCAAGAAGTTTCCAGAACCCACTTGATATCCATCCCATGCCCCTTTCGCTGTGGTCACACCATGTAGCAATATAAAACAAGGCGGTTAAAATCATAGCAGCAGCTGTGACATCCAGTGGCCCAAACCAAAAGAGTATAAGGCACCCATAAGAAGCCTGCATTACACAGAGAAATGGCTCAAGGATGCCAGAAAGTCATCTGATCATTTCTTTCTCCCTGACTTAGCTGATTGGCACTAGACACAGAAACAAAAATGAAACAGTTCCAACCCAAACATGGTCGGAACTGATAATCCTTGGTTAGTAAATATAAGACAGATGAAAGCTCAGACGATCATAGGTATTTTTCTCTCCCTTAAAAGGCACCTGGTTCTGAAACTATGGGAGATCCTCAGGTGAGTTCACAATAAATGTAGAACACCACCCAAAAGATCTATCTGTTAAGCTCTTAAACTGTGAGGCGACAACTTAAGAGACTGCCTGTTAGAATTCGGATAAATTCATGAGCAAATAATCTGTTAACACCGTGACGAATTGCATGGGGCGCAAATGCATAACTGGATGATTTTTCCCCATGTGACCGATAATCGTGGGTGGAGACCTGGGAGACAGCCCTATTATCCAATAAGAGAGAGAGGATGACAAAATGCAGTAAATAGGGATGTCAGGGGAACCGCAGACCCTGTTGCACAGAAATTCATTCACAATCCTCTGGCAGAGAGGTGGCCAGGCGGCAGTCACGCAAGCGCCGGCAGAGAAGACTCGACGGATTCCAAAGTAGGAAGGTCTGGAGATCCAGCCAAAGAGGCCTATCCACAGTGCACAGTAACATCAGCACGTTGTAAGAAGCCAACTCCTATGTACCTTCTCCCTTCAAAGTATATCCTTAAGACAAACAGGGTATTTTATTGAGCAGAAGAGAAACGCTAAGTATCCAAGAATCTACCAGATGCGGCTGGGGAGCTGGACAGAGATTCCTACACCATCGTGGACAGCCAGACGCCTATCCTCCTCCACTACGGACTGGGTCTCAGCCTGGCCTGGGTTCAGCTGTTTTAGGTCCAGTTTCAGATGAGGCCACACAGGGGAGAGCAGATCAAATCAAGCCAACCATCTGGTCAATCTGTCGCATGTAGACGCTCTTTAAGGGCAGGGAATATCGCCTCTCGTCAGGAACACGATTGCACTAGAAAGAAAGTGAATGAGGGACAATTTGAATTTTGAGTTAAGACGCCATGTGTTAATTCCTCAGATGTGACTGGATGACCTCCCCTGGGGTTTCTCATCCTGGCACTGTCAACACTTGGGGCCTGTCCCGTGCACTGCAGGACGGTCAACAGCATCCCTGGGCTCTCCCGCTATATGCCCCCTGCCCCTAAGCCCCAGTTGTGACAACCAAGATTGTCTCCAGACATTGCTCAATGTCCCTTGAGGAGCAAAGTCATCTCCAGTTGAGGACCACTGATGTAATTTAATTTCCTCACTTCACAGGTGAAGAAATGGAAACCCAGGGAGGCTAAAACACATGCACCCAAGTGAAGAGGGGCTGGGACTAAAACCTGCACCCCTTGGGTCCTCAGTCCACCCAGAATCGCAAAACATGTTTTAGCTACTTGAAAATACTGTTGTTTTTCTGAGTCGATTGCTCTTCTCATCCACAGCTAAAACCTAAACGCTTAAGAGTGTTACTTATTTTTTTTAATTAAAGGCTTTTTTGCTTTTCTCTCTCTCAAAGGGGATTTAAGTTTGAGAACCAAACGTGCTGCCTGGAAAGTTTCCACATGTATTCACGCTCTTCCAACCAACAAATGTCAATAGAGTAACAGTTAAGAAATCCTTGCTTATAGTTAACCTGCTCTTCCTCAAAGAAGCATTTGCTCGCTGCTCTGTACTTGAACTCACACGCCCTGCTCCTCAACTTTGCAAGATCGAGACTGACAGGTTCTTCAGTTGGTCCCAACGCCCCCCACTTGTGCTTTTTGTAGATGCTGTGCCTTCTGCCAGAGTGTCCCTCCTGGGAAGCGCCCCCTCATCGTTCCAGGAGCTACTGAGAGGCAACCTCCTGAGTGAAGCCCTCCTTGTTTTCCTGGCAGAATAATTCCTCCCTCTTCGGTGTTTCAACAGCACTTCACACAGCCTCCTACTGACAAGCACCCGGGGGGAACCGGTCTCGACACTGGGCCCTGGGCCCATCCAGCACCAGGACCCCTCTGACTGGCCCGCGTCCCCGGTGCCTGGCACAACGGAATCGGGTCTATCAGACGAGTGTCTCCTGCAGTACAAATCTGGGCTCCACCACGCGGCTCCACCGTGTGACCTGACCCTCTCTGTACCTCCCTTTTTCTGTCTGTGAAGTAGGGATATTACGATACCTACCCCTCACGGGGCTACTAGGAGAAGTTAACATACTTAAGCATTTAGCACAGTGCTTAGCATGTGGTAAGCTCTATAAATAAATGCTGGCTATGATTATTCTCTCCCCTTCTGTTTTACCCTTTCCTCTCAATCACGCTTTGTTCGCTTAATCTACACTCCATGGCCTAATATAAATTGCAGGGTCTTATCTATAGCTACAGAAATGGCCTCTTTCTGAAACTCTTCTCAAATTACCCAACCCGAGTGTGCCATGAATATTCTGTCAGGAACTCTGGATGATAATGAGATGAGTAGTGTTTTCTCTTCCTCCAATTGCAAACCACCCCTGGAGAAAGCAACTTACATTGGAGCTGGAGTTGATGACTTTTAGCTCATGAGGTCTCGGTCTGTGCCCCGACTTTCCCACTGGGTCGCGCCCTCCCTCTTCAGAAAAGAACTCCTTCCAGGGTGACTCCCGGAGATGTGCGTCCACAGATACAATGTGTCCCTCAGTTGTAAACATGTATCTGGTTCCAGATTTGTGTACTGGATTCTCCTCATCAAAGAGCTAGTAGAAAAAAGAAAAGAAAACAGATACAATTATAGCAGGTTTGGAACCAATTCATAGGGCGGCTGAGTTCAGACTACTTAGGGACAAGAACCTGCTTGGCTCTCAGGCCAACTTAGGCTGCGGGGCGGAATCCCCAGTTGTGTTGAAACTCAAACGCCTGGACTTCCCCGATCCCGCCCAGACCTAGAGATTAGAAAGCCCGGGGCTAAGACCCAAGCGCCACTAATCTGTAAAAGCCCTAGATGATGCCCCCATGCTCTCCAGAGTTCCAGCGCTGGAATCCTGGAACTACCCCCAGCTCACACGCACCTAGGCTTGAAACTGGAAAAGCCTGGAGAGAAGGAGGTCCACGGTTTATCCTTCACCAGGTCCCCAGGGCCTGACACACGTGCCACCGCATGGCGCACTCCTGTGTGGGCTCTGAGGGCACAGGGCACCCCAGGCAGTCCTTCCTTCAGCAGCGGGCGTGGGGGCTGGACGAGGGCCCAGGGGGGGGCATCTAGAAAGAACCCCTAACCCAGGCGTGCGGTAAATGATGCATGAGGAAGAACGCAGAACTCTTAGAGACGGAGGAAACCTCACAGGCACCTCAGGTATTTTACAAACGAGGAAGAACACTCGGCATAGCTGCTCCGTGTTCAACACGGCTCCCAGGAGGAGGACAGCGTTGGCCTGGGTCCTCCCCCTCCGCCCCCACCCCCAACCCTGAGTTCTTTCTCCAGGAACACCTTGGGGGTCTCCTCCATTCATTCGCTCCAGAACTTGCCCCGTGAATACCCCGGACCCCACAGCTGCCAGACGGGATGCCCGCCAGGCTCTCGGCAGCCGACCGGACTGGCTGCACTGTGCGGTGTGGGAGACCTCGGTGCCCACAGTACCTGGTGGCAGGACCACGCGGCCAGCGGGCGGGCGGGCACACCTCCTCTGCCTGACACAAGAAGTGACACCAGCAGCAGTGTCATCTGAGAGGACTAGACCGGGGCTTCCAAAACCCGGCTTTGTACAGGACCATGAGAGGCACCTGTCAACATTACAGGCTCCCGAGCCTGCTTCTGAAGATTCCCATTCAACACGGCTGTAATCTTAACAGTGTGACTCCAATCCAGCCAACCCCGGGGCTTGGGGACCACTGAACTGGATAAAACAAACCTATCACTACTGATGGATATCTTTGGATCTCGGCCTAAATTCTCCAGGCTGTTTCCCCACCGGGAAGTCCCGACCCTCCGAGCCCTGAGAAAGTATTCTTTTGCGTGTAGCCATACGAGCCAGTGACAGAGGGGAGGAGGGCGGCCAGGTGCACTACACAGACGCCACGCACGCCCGCGGCCAAGCAGCCAAGCGGAAAGAGCACAGGACAAGGACGCGGGTCCAGGACTCAAGCCTCGGCTCTGCCCTGTCATCACCCCGAGACCCCGGCAAGTCACCTGACCTCTGGCAGTTCCCCTGAGGGGAAGAATGAACGCTAACCAGATGATCCCGAAGGTTCTTTCCAGGTCCAAAAATTCAGTCTCTCCCTAAACACGTGTGGATGTGTGTATGGACAGAGAGCCGGCCGGGCTGTGGGTCTCACCGAGAGCGCCCAGGTCAGGGGAAGTAAGAGCTGAGACTCCGCGGTCTTCCTCAGGGAAGCCTCGTGACCACCACGCTAACAAGGGTCCCCCAGGAACCGTTACCTGCACTTCACACAACATGTAACCCAGAGAGTGTCTATGTGTGTACTCGGCAGCGCCTCCTGTACGAGGTCAGGAACCACGGGGCAGACAGCAACGTGCCTTTGCTCCGACAGTACTGCGCCCCTGGGCCAGCGAAACATCCAGCCTGGAGCAGCGCCTGGTGGCGTATGTTAGATGGAAGGCAGAGGAATGCTTGCTGTCAGCAGAATGGGGCAGCTCCTGGGTTAATCTTACGACACACATACCAGATACAAGTATTTACAGGTCTCGCTGAGGAAAAAGCTCTCCATCCGGTCCTCTTTGGATTTGTCGATGACATGATGCAGCGTAGCGTAGCCACACCTACAAAACAATCATCCAGTGAGTCCCACCTCTGCTCCTTCCCACCTGCTTATTAACTGAAGAGGCAGACGTAGCCTATTCGCAGAACAACCAAGGCATCAAACACCACGTGAGAAACAAATTAGGGTAGGTTTAAGGGCTGTCCCTTTTCAGCCTTGATCGTCTGCAAACGTCATTAGAAAGTGGTCTGGCTGCCGAATCATCAGGTTAATGGTAGTGGAAAGGGGGCGGGGGTGGGGGAGAGTATTTGCCAAAAGCGTGGCAGGGCGCCGACGAGACGACTCGCCGCAAACTCAAAGGCCTGATTTAAATTTCGCGGCCCGACACTTGTACAGACTGACTAATCATCTGATAGTCTAAGACCATGTTTTGAAAGAAAATACTCATGATATTATATAGCTAGGTAAAAAAAGCACATCTCAAAAAACTGAAAGAGAGTTTTTATACATATATACACACATTATAGATTTATATATAAATATATAAAAGAGTATAAAACTATATACTTCAAGGCTGATGGTAGTTATCTCTGCAGGTGAAGATTACAATGATAATATTCTACCTCTATATTTTCTATATTCCATGAACTTTTTAGTGTATATATTATTTGAATAACAGGGGAAATAAGTTACTTCAAAAGAGCTCATATAGTCTGCTGGAACCCTACAGGAATAAAGGTGAAAAAAAAATTTTAATTCCCACTATAATGGGCAGGTTCTACTACACAAAAAGTAAGCAATTTCCCTAC